TGCAACTGGGATGGGGAGGCGGATGTAGAGGCCTCAAACCCACCTCTCCCCTTCACTGCACCTGGGATCCTGGAGGGACTCCAACAGTCTGGGCGGAGATATCCACAGTCCTCCAGACACACAAAGAGGCCGATGAAGGCACCCCAGATCTGCCTAGCTCCTCCTCTGCACACCCCCTCTTTCATTTCTTTTATCATTTCCTATTTTACCTGGGAGCTTGTTTCGAGTTTGAATTCCTTTAAAGCTTCCTGGAGTTACTTGTTAATGTCAGTAGCTATTATGTCCAATATTTGAGGTGAATGGCATATATTTTCTTCTATATACATCACTCCTAGGGTTTCTTGAGATGGGCTGGAGGTTTGAGGTTGTAATTTGGTCTTTTGTTTTGTCATTTTCCTATATTTCTGTGTTTCAAGTGTTATTTGAAAGCTTCCTCAGGGTCTGTTGGAAATCCCCTTCTATGTTCGCAGCTCCTGAGATTCTGGCACCCAGTTACACCAAGCCACTGGGCCTGTAGAACCAATGGCCCTCTTCTGCCTGTTTAGAACTCCGTAGTTCCAGATAAGCTGGGCTTCAGGGACACTGTGCGCCCACCTGCTTGTTGGAAGCTCCACAGTTCTCCAAGCACAGCAGGAATGGGGAGGCGGATGTAGATGACTCAAACCCACTTATCCACTTCACTGCACCCGGAAGCCTGGAGGGTCCTGAACAGTCTGCGCTTTGGGCAGAGTGCACTGAGTACTTACCGCAGGCCATCGGGCCTCTGGAACCTGCGATGCTCCCCTGCTTGCTGAGATATCCAAAATCCTCCAGACCCACGGGGAGGCAGATGCAGGCGCCCCTGATCTGCTCAGCCCTTCCTCTGCCCCTTCCCCATTAATTTCTAGAGACAGCTTAGCAGGGTATATCAATGTGGGATGGAGGTTATTTTCTTTTAGGGCTTGGAATATTTCACTCCAGGCTCTTCTTAACTTGATGGTTTGTGTCGAGAAGTCTGCCATTATTCTGATGGTCCTTCCTCTGTATGTTATCTGATTCTTGTCTCTAACAGCTTTTAATATTCTGTCTTATATTGAATTTCTGGGATCTTGATTATTATATGCCTGGGTGTAGCTCCGTTTTGGTTGTAGGTGGCTGGAGTTCTGTATGCCTCATACATCAGAATATCATTTCCTTTTACTATGTTTGGGACGTTTTCCTTAATTATTTCTGTGAATAACCTTTGCAGTTCCTTTGTTTGTATCCCAGCTTCTTCATTCACATTCTTTATTCTCAAGTTATAGATCCTTTTTTTCATCTTCTAGCCTTTGTATTGTTACTGCTTATTTCCTTGTTATTTTTAAACAGTTTCCCCTTTCATACTCCCACATTGCAAAATTGCCCACCAGTTTGGATAATCTTTCCTTAGTTTCTTTCAAGCAGATTTGCCATCTTTCCATAGAGTTTTAAATTTCCTGGTGATCTCTTTGAATCTGCTTCATGTATTGTATATTTTTTTATATTCTTCACCAAATGGTTCTCTCCTGTGTTTGAGTTCCTCCCTTCTTCCATCTGTGTCTGCTTGAGGAGTGCTTAGTATCTCTTTTATTGATCTTCTTATATCTTGCTTTATTTGGCTAAATATTTCACTTTTGAACTCGTCTGTGAGGTCCTGAATATATCTCTTTATGTCCTCTTGTGCTGTGTCTGAAATTGCATGTTTGTTGTTCTCATTTTCCTTTGTATTTACCTGTCCTGGGTCAGTGTTCTCAGAATTGGAGTCTGGGAACTTTTTGTTGTTGCTTCCTCTTCCCATCTTTTTTGCTTCTTCTAGAAAGCCCCAGTTTCTTTGTTTGTTGGTTACAATTCTTCTGCAGTGTGCTGGCTAGATGACCCTTCACACTGCAATGTGCTAGTGAGTGCAGACAGGGACAGCGTATGCCGGCCCCTCCCCTCCAGATCAGTCAAGTTGCTGTGGCCTGCACTACTGTATTACTTTGCACTACCACCCTTCCGGAGCAGCCAAACCTCGGAGGCCCCACTCAGCCAGTGTGATTAGAGTGTGACACTGCTGCAGGGACTTGACCTCAGATAACCTCTTGGGTCTCCAGCCAGGTCATGTGACCCAGGCCTAGCTCACTCCTCCAATCTCATTTGGGAAGGGAACAATTGACTGAAGTCACTGCTGCCCCTTGGACTTGCCAGTCTTGCTCAGTCCCAGAATGTCGTCCACTGGAGCCCCCCTATTTATGGAATGGCTCCACTCCCATCACTCACTACAGGTCAATGTAGGCTCCCCGCCAACTCAGCTTTCCAGCTTGCTGACCCTTGAACTCAATGTAACTGCGCCTCCAGTGAATCCAAGCGGTGGGACCTCGGACGGCTCAACAAATCACAGGGTGACCCTGGCCAGTTGTGGCAGGATTCCAGCAAGGTACAGCGGGACCCCAGTAAGGCGTGGCAGGACTCAGCAAGTCATGGCAGGACCCCAGCAAGTCATGACGGGATCCCAGCAATGTGCGGTGAGACCCTGGCAAGTCATCGCGGGACCCCGGCCAGTCATCACGTGACCCTGGCAAGGCACAGTGGGACCCGGCAAGTCACAGTGGGACCCCAGCAGGGCATGACGGAACTTTGGCAAGTCGCGGCGGGACCCTGGCAAGTCACGGCATCGGCCAGTCATGGCAGGACCTGGGATGGTCGGCAAGCCGCCTTAATTTCTTCTTGGGTCCAGTGAATTCATCTCCCTCTGTTTGGAGCTCCCCACTCTGTATTATGTTGAATTGTAAGTTGACTATCTCAGGGAGCTTCTGTAGCCAGTTGTTATCTACCTGCCATCTTTCGTTAACCTTTTCTGAAGTGACGATATTTCAGTTTGGCCCATCTTTATAAATCATGTCAATCTCTGTATATTAGTCTCCTATTTTTATCAGTTTTCCAACTGAGTAATTTGTCTTCTAAATCACCTTGGTCTTTTTGAATTATGTAGAGGCATTTTTTATAGTTTTTGTGATAAATTTATGGCCTTAATCCAGCATTGATTTCTTTACAGGCTTAAAAACTCTTCCTCTGTATCAGAAATTTGCCATGTGAACTTCTGCATGTGTGTATGTGTGTTCTTACACTTTTTTCTTTAATAGGCCGACCTTTCTGTGTTCAGTGTTTAAAGGCATCTGTAACTTGGTGTGTTACAGAATGTAGAGCCGGTCATTTCATTTGGTTTCTCCTGAATCAGGCACATGTTCTTTTTCTGCTGTGTATTTTAAGCCTAGTGGGAATTTAGCTAGCCAGTGTCAGAAGCTTGTGATTGTCATCCTGCTTCCCCTAACATGCACATGCCAATGCACATGTTCACATGTGCAACCTTCACAGAGTGCAGCCCCATGCATTCACATGCTGGCCTTCAAGTGGCAGCTGAGAGCTGGTCTCTGCTGTTTCTGTAGAATTCCCAGTGTGGCCTACAGAGAGAAGCACTCCCATTAAGTCCATCCCAGCCAGAAGCAGGCACAGTACCCCACCTGCCTAGGACAGTAGGTTGTGGCTAGTAACATCAGACCTGATCTGCCCCTGAGCTCTGAGGTAAATACACATGGTTAGTTACCTCAGAAAGAGAAGCACTTTTGGTTTTTCTTTTAATTTAGATCTACTGGCATTATATTAAACTAGCTTTGTTACAGTTTAGGTTGTTATCTTTATTTTCCCTGCTAGCAGACAAAATACTCATTTGAATTAAAAATTGGGGTTGTGAGTCTTGCATCCCTGAGCCCATCTAACAATCTTCCTTGGAAATCCATCTACATTTTCCTTTGGTTGTTAGCATTAATAAAAAAGTTGTATGCATTAATAAAAAAAGAAATCTGTGAAACATTCACATTTAAAGGGAGTTCTCAAGATCCTGGTTAAGATCTAAAATTGTCTTCAGATAAAGGTAAATTAATATTTGAGCTCTTTGATTCTCTTAAACTGTGACTTTAGAAAACCACGTTTCTCTCTGAGTGTTTAGAAGGAGAAATGTGAGAATTATTTTAAGTCATTATTAACCAACATAGTCCATTGTAAGAATACTGTGTTATGGACCTATAGGAACATAGGTTAAATAACACATCTTGTTTTGGCAGAAAGTGTCTTGAGAAGACAGTTTCTTTCTTTGACCTGCTACCCTTGGTAGGTGGCCACACACTCACAGGGTGGCTGCTATAGCTCTAGGCATCATGTCAGTGTACTTAGTGAGAAGAGAGTTAAAAGCAAGAGACATAACTAACTCAAAGATTTGACAGAAGATTTGTCTTAAAATGGTTTTCCTTTCATCTTATTGACCATCCAAGCTTATAAGGAATGTTGGGAGATGTAATTTTTCAACTGGGAACATTTCTGACCTTGACAAAATCAAGATTCTGTCATAACCAGGAGATAATGGATATTGAGTGAAGATCTAGCAGCTGGTAATTCAGAGTCAAGGCCATGGGGCTACTGAGTTCCCGTCTCACTGGAAGAGTAATAAACCTTCAAGTTACAGCACAGCTGGAGCACCAATTTGACTGTGCAAGAATTCAGAGCGAGAACCAAATGTGCCCACCGCCCTCTAACCTGCCTGCCTCCTGTCCACCTGCCTCCTGCCTTGTCCTGTGCCATCTAGTCTCATGTCCTAGCAGGAAGTACCATTGCTGCCTGACTCACTCCTTGAATGTGTGTGATTCATTTGATCCTGGAATCCTCTGGTCTCTGTGTCGATCTCTCCCCGGCTTCCTTTGTTTTGACTCTGTCTGATGTGACTTTGGTGTTACCTCAAGCACATTCATTCTGATGCACTGGCTTTAGCCACTGCTCTGCTAGTCTGTGACTCTGATTCCTGGCTTTATCTTTCTTGTCCCTAGTCTTACTCTTTGCTTCTTTTAGCATGTGCTTCAGGATCACAAAGATAATGCTTTTTTGGGTCAGGTATCAACAATCATGTTTTATTGCAAATAGCATTACACCTAAATATATTAGTGCTGTTGACTTATTAACTTATTTTACTTTAGCCTCAATAGAAGACTCAATAGAGGAGGTAACTTCAGATCACCCAGAAGTTATTTCCATGCTTGAGGAAACTCTAAAAATGACAAAGGATATGAACTTTGAACAACCTTATGAAAAGCATGCCGAAATCTTAGAGGAAGTCCTCAGAGAGGTAGGAAAAAAAGTACAGCTGGTTAATTTTTGTCCTTTACTTAGCTATAGTTAATACAGTGTTATTCTGGAATATGTATAATTCTTTGAGTCTTATTTTACAGTACTGAAATGCATAGTCTTCAAATTCATGTACATTTTTAGTTCACATTGTTATATATAAAAACATCCCAGTGAAAAGTTGCTGATGCTGTTAAATAAGTTTTAAATGCTAAACAAAACTGTGAGGTAGAATTTCATAGCTTTGAAATACATTCATTCATTGTTCTATGGGAATAAATATTATGTGCACATATAGAACCACTGTGTAATATGTTGGGTGGTTTCCTTGAGTCTCAGCTTTCATAGCCCTGTTTTAGACTCTTTGCTCCTTAGCTCTCTTAGAGCGTCCCATAGACCCTTGATGTATTCTATATCTTTTCAGGTTGTTCTAGCATCAGATATTTCTTTCAGTAGCTTTCTGAGCATCCAGCCTACTATCCATCCCTGTTCTGGGTTAGATACTAAGCAGAGGGAGAAAGGAGAAGGGAAGGAGCCATGGTCCCATGTCCCATTTGAGACAAGAACCCAGTGAATTAAGCACAACTCTGGCCTGTAAGGAGTTACCATCCAGACTCAGTAAACCAGTGACTGAGTTTTCATGGGCTAAGTGGAAAACATGAGCACAAGGTGCAAGAACCCCATCACCGTCAGAATTGCCATGTTTGCTCAGAGCTGAAACAAAATACGGTGGGGGTTGTGGGGCATGTAAGTAGGGACATTGGGATCTGGAAGTACAGTCCTTGCCACTGACTGAAAAATTTCTCCATTCCTCTTAGTTTTTTCTGAGGATGCACATCTCCAGGTAGCGCTACTAAATACTTCCAATATAGGAATATACATAGTATAGTTGGGCAGTAAACTGGGATTTGGGACAATATAAAATACAGCAGACTTTAACATCAAAATGTGTATCACATGGTCATTTCTCAAGAGACCAGGGACCTATGTAGGAAACTTATTTTTCCTTTTCATCTTTTTTTTGGTACCATGGATCGAACTCACGACCTTGCGCTTGCCAGGCAGGTGCTTATGTTGTTGAGATGAATCTCTGGCCCTAGTTTTCCTTTTTTTATTTTAAATATAGAAAAAAGTAAAAACAACAATAAAATGGAGTTTCAAAACACAAGCCTATAGTAATCCCTTTCTGTCTTATTCCATTGTTTTTTAATATGTGACATTTTCCTATCTTCAGCAAAATCACTTGGAACAAATTAAAATCAGGAACATGACCTCTGCATTCAGTCCTGCCACACAAACCTCTCCAAAAAGAAGAAGCTTAGATAACCTGGTTCTTTTCTTAGAATGAGGATGGCAGAAATGCAGCAAGAACAACATAATATCTCAGTGATTATTTCACTGCATCAAAAATAGCAGAACACCTTTATAACACTGTAATGAAGTTTAGCTTAGGACTACAGATTATTTTACATTAAATTCAAGAACAAGTTAATTGTATTCCTACCACATTTATTTTTAATGTTTGATGGAAATTTTAAATATACAAAATGCATTGCAACATATGAGAAATAATGATTAGAGCAGAGGAAAAACAATCATTTTTAAAACTGACAGTTTATTCCAAAAAATCCAAGAGAGTAATCTAAAAAATATTGAGCTAATAATCACATTCACAAACTAGGCAGCCAAATAAGCTAAGAAATTCATATATGAAAGGAACATAAATGTAAAATAACTAATAATAACCCTGAAATAAGAGATTAACATTACCAGAAACACTAAACTTCACATACGTAGATATCAGCACATAGAGATATTACAATTTATTTGTAGAGATAAAATTTTGTTGAAACTTTTTATTTATAAGAAAATAACTCATAACTCATACATCTGTGTCTTCCTCAAGTTAATATACAGATTTGATGCAGTTCTAATAAAAATCTCTAATGTGTTTTGGAAAATGAGAACATGACTCTTAAGTTTATTTGGAAGAACTAATAGTTAAGTCTAGCTAAGAACAGTTTGTCAGAGAGGTACAATAGAGGGAGACTTACTTTAGCAGCTAGTGAAATGGGTCATACAAGGATCAAGGAACTTTAGGAGAGGCACAGGCACAAATCTCAGAACAGGTATAATTTTAGTACCTGCCTAAGATTACATTACACTGTAATATGAAGTAATTATTTAACAATATTGACTGATTAACTATTGAGGGAAAAAAACATTTAGATTCTTACCTTACATCAAGATAAAAATAAATAATTCCATGTAAATTAAAAAGCTAACTGTTACAGTGGTATTTTTCTTTAAATAGACTATAATGTAGTAACATTGGAATAATTTTAGTCAAGGACTACATCACTACAACAAATACTACTGATGATCAACTGATAAAGAACTGCTTTTGGCTCACAGTTTTGGAGGTTCCAGTCCAAAATGTGCTAGGCCTACTGTTCTTGGGCCTGTGGTGAGGTAGTGCAGCCTGGAAGAACAGCTGTGGGAGACTAGGAACACTACTCCACTGGCTGGAAAGCAAAGGGAGAAGGGAAGGAGCCATGGTCCCACGTCCCATTCAAGACCAGGACCCAGTGACCCAAGACCTGCACTAGGCCCACCTCACCTCCCTGTAACACTGAGCTGGCCAAGCTATTAGCATCTGGGCCTGTGGCAGGGATCCCAGTTCCAAAAGACAGCAGGGGTTCTGGGAACAGCTGCAATGGAAAATCTCCTAAGAGAAATTTTAATAGAGAGATGACTTAATAATGACTCTGCAAAAAATTACAGAAGTCAAGATTTTAAGGCAAAGGTCTACCTGGGGAAAGAATTTATAATAAATATAACATTAATTTTTTTTAAATTAGAAGGAAATCTAATACCCAGATATAAAAACAAGCCAGGAATATAAGCATATTTTATCTAAGTAGAAATATGCATGGTTAGTTAAAAGTTTGTAACATTTAAGTTTTCAATAAGAATATGAAATTAAAACAATCCTAAGTACCTGCGAGATTTGCTTTGACCCAAACTCTACCTGCTGCTATAGTACCCATCTTAGTATCGCTCCCTCTCAACTGAATGGTAAGAGCAAAGGCAAGTGGAGGATGTTGGCACTAAAACACAAGCTTGTTTGAACCTTGCTATGCATGAGGTGAACCTGTGGCATCATCCTGGAAGTGAGCCCTGTCCCAGCTTCCTAATCAGGATTTGCATTCAGTGATGCTGAATAATAGGTGGCAAAATGTGTTACTATTTTATTTAACAAAGGCTTCCCTTCCTGTTAACTTTTAAAACAGAATTTTGCCATTTCAAATTCATTTTTCTTTTAAAATTAACTTTTTTTTTTGCTGTTCTCAAGATCCAAAGTCAAAAGATATTTGAGATCTACAAAAATGACATATTAAGGTAAATTGCCTAACTTGTCAAGCTGGGATAGTGTAATCTTGTCAATAACATGATGTAATTTTATTCACAGGTAGTAGAAGAAAACAAGAAGAGATTTGCTGGTGCTCCAAAATTTGGAGGCTGGATTGTGGAAAATTGCCCTGTTATAAAAGAACTGTGGATGGTCTTAACTGAGAAAGGAATTGTACCAGATTTGGTAATCTGTTTATCAGACACAGAAAACAATGGTTGGTAAATACCATGTAAATTTATCAAGTAAATTTGAAACTGAAAAATTTATTGCTGATAATATTTTTAGTTAAAATATAGAGTGGAAAACTCTGTACTATCCTTAGGTACAAATACTACCCTAGCAACTTCTGGTGGGCAGAGGGAGAAGTCTGGAGCTGTGCTGGTTGGCTGAGCATTCTCCCAGGCCCACATATTATTTCCCGGAGCTGAGAATTTTACCCTCCAGAAGCAGTAACTTCTAAAAGAACAATGTGTAAAACAGGAAAATTAAATATATAAAAGTGTAAAACTTTAATTATTCTGTCAGTTTTCCTCTTAAGGAAATTTATTTGACACTAGAGTTTCCTGGGGGAAAATATAATGTACTGTCTCTTCATGTTGTAATTTTACCATATTAATATATACCTTTTAAAAAAAGATTTAAGGAAGTCTATTAAATTTTTAAGTGATTTAGACTCTGTTTTGATAAATCCTTTAATGAGAATATATTTAAATATAGGCAGAAATAATTTTTGTTCTTAATTTCAAAAATATATCTCACTCTATACAACTTTAAAAATAATATTATTCTCTATATCTGTATTTCAGGAAAATGTTTATTTAATAGGATATATTTACAAAATAAGTCTGAAATTGACTCTAAGATTTTAGAAAGATTGTTAAATGAGCTACAAGACAAAAAGGAAGAAGCAGCAGCAAGGTAAAGGTAAAATCTGCCTAGAATGATAAAAGCACATTAATATATATTTTAGAGCTATTAAATATCTTCTAATTATACTTGTGAAATACCTTTATCAAAAGATGATCTGCTGTTTTAAAATTTCATCACTACTCTGTTAAAAGTTAAAAATCAAGTGGTTTTCTAATCAGACAAAAAAATCAAAACTTTTATGTAATCTAAAAAAGTTTTAAATGCAAAACTGCTAAAATTTAAAACACCTATAATATCATGTAGAGACAATTACTGTTTATTAATTTGTTCAGTTAGTTTTCTCCTAGTCTTTTAACATATGCGTTTTAAATACAAATTAAAGTTGTATTACACATAGTTTTATATTCTGCTGTTTTCACTTAACAGATTGTGAATAATTACCATTTAATCAGAGAAAAAAATGTTGCCAATTCTTTTGCCCGTCAACTTAGAGTTAGCTAATTCTTTTACTACTTTTGAAAGATTTTCTAGTTAATAGCTAAGGTTTTTCAAAGTGTAACATTACGATTTTTCTTATCAAAGCCCACAACAATAGCAAATGTAAATTAATTGGCCTTAGCATGATTAGTTTAAAATTGTACATGGTAAAGTAAAAATGGATATATAAGCAATTTACTGTTCTTTTTACTACCATAAACATTTAATACTATAATATTGTGAATGTATCTGATTTTGCAAAGATAATTACATTTTGAGTCATTTCATTTCAGAAAGGCTAAAGAAGAGGCATTGAGAATAGAAGAAGAAAAACAAAGACTACTGGACACTATGCACGAAGGAGCAAAAGGTCAACAAAGATTGATAAGATAAATAATGTGTCATTTATTCTTGTATTCTGCAAACAGCTGCCTTATTTCAAGCAAATTATATGCAGGGTGATCCTATTCCTTAGGAGTCCAGATTTATGCCTATGGTTCCAACTTAACTTATAGTATGCCCTTTAATTCTCAAATATGTCAATTTGGATAATGCATCATATCATCACTGTAGTAATAGATTCATAGGAAAGACATTTCTAATAAAGATCCCTAACTCTGTACTTTCCAGGAAGGATCCACAGCAGAATAGTATGTGCAGCATGTTTGTAAATGACACTGTTGTTGTGGGTGACACATGGCTGATATTATTCCTATTAGAAGGATATTCAGAAAAACATCTAAACTCTGCAGAGATACAAGGTCCTTACATTTAAACATCAATCTCCCTTGTGGAGGAGCTTTTTTGTTAAATTTTAAGTTTCTTTAGATACTAGAGTTCTCAGTCTGGGATAACATTTAGGGATCTGAGAACTTAAATGGGAAAATAATTTCAACTGTATTTTCACTAACATGTAACTGAAATTTAGTAATCTCTTCAACTGTTAATACAGAGTAAACCAAAAGAGTACCTTGTCTTTGAAGTTAAAAGAAATGAAGGTATTTTCTCTTCATTATAGGTTTATATATCTTTCTTGTACAGTTCCAAACTTCTAGTAGTTATTAATACATCTGTTCATTGTCCTTCTTAATACATTAGTAAAGGTGTACAGATTTCCTACAGCAGAGTTCTTTTTATTCTGACAATCATATTTCAATATAATTGGCCTCTTATGTATTTTATTTATTGATTTTGCTAGCATTATTCAGAAAAAAGGTCCATAAGTTTCACCACACTGCCAGAGGAATCCATGGCTGAAAGAGTGAAGGGTAGAGTTCAGTTTTCTACTGCTGTCTGACAGGCTACTCCAAAACTTAGTTGTGTATGAAAACCTTCATTTTTATCACAGAATCCATCCTGTGGGTCATGACTTGAGTAAGGCCCCATTGGTGACATCTTTTCATTACCTGAGCACAGGAGTTCCTGTTTGAGTGGTCTACCTTGGAAGTGGGTGTTCTAGCCTCAGTAATCCTTCAGAACCTCCTAAAACACCCTAAGTCAGAACCCTACAGGTAGGCCACTCCCAATTACTGTCCACAGAAACTATAAGGAAGTATGTAAAGATTGTTATTTTTACCACTAGTTTTGGTGTCATTTATTTTGAACCAATAGATAATATAACACAGATTAACAGTAAAAATCACAAATAATTGAAGGATTTTAGACCACTTTACCTTTCATTTCATCCCTGATTTATGTAGAACACAGATTATTCACTGGGGTTTTAGGAAAAAGGATTTTCACTTTAAAACGTTCTGCAACATTATATAAATTATTTTTATAATTTATCCAATATAGATTAAAAATACAACCTAGAAATAAATTTTTATACACACATTGGGGGTATATATTTTTTACTATTAGAGATATGTAGTTGAAATTTTAAGTTTCTTGGGTAGACTATGTAACTTCATTTCCAGGTGCAGTAGAAGTCACTAAGTACTCTTTTGTACTTGGGTATATTATCATAAAATTTTCCATTTAACAAAAAGATTTGCCGCTTTTCAAGTTACATACTTGAAAGCTACACAAACTATAATCTTAGTTCATACTGAGATATTAGGATACTTTGGAATGCCTTTCGCTGGGGTGTAATCATCTAGCATTAGATAAGATTTGGATGTCAGAGACGTTTCACACCACAAGAATGTGATACTTGAAGAATTCACTGGGGAGTGAATTTCACGTGAGTACAAAAAGCAAGTTCATGTATTTTTTCAAATCATCTTTGTATGAAAAATACCTCATATTCCATTTCATGAGTGTATCATCTTAGTTTCATAAGTATATGAAAGCAAAGTGAGTTTTCTGATACCATATTTTTCCTAAAAAATTTTCATGCATTTAATTTTTTTAGCAGCTACCCCAAACTTGTAATTGTTTTATAAATTTAAAATTAGCATATTAATCAATATATGACTACTCACTGTTTTCAACTTAACTTTAGAGAGGCTATCATTGTATATATATAGTCCAGCCTGGTGCTGCCCAATATAAACTACATATGTAACTAAATTTTCTAGTAGCCACACATTTCGCATTCAGTGTTTCCATTCTAACTCTTTGGATCCTTTTGTATGTTTAATATTTAACATATGCTCCAATTTGGACTGGCCTCATTTTGGGTGCTCAGTAGCCACATGTGACGAGTGGCTACCATACTGGATGATACATATCTAGACAGTCTGTAACTGAATGGGCTTTGTGCTGTCTCTAGTTTTTCACTGTTAGAATATTTTGAATTGCTATAAATACTTCTTCTTTTGAATAAACTGTTGTTCTGGTTCTCTCATAAGACTATGAAAAAATGACTGTCCTTCTTTACCCATTTTAATAGATAAAATTACTCTTTGTTCTGGACTAAGCATTTAGTATCCAATAAATGTTTGTTGACTTAAATGGAGTGCTAATTTTTTCCTCCTCTTGCTTTCTAGAAGCTGAAGAAGCTGATAATGAAGCTGAAGAAGAAATTGATGGTGAGGAGTCTGAATTCAGAGGAGAGTCTGAAGCACCTGAAGTATCTGAAAATCGAGAGTCATTATTACATGAAGAGTCTGAAATGTCTCAAACCCACAAAACAGAGCATGAATCAGGTTTTCCTCTCCTCTGTTCTATTCTGATCAATTACGTGTGTGTGTGTGTGTGTGTGTGTGTGTAAATGGAAACTGGCTAAAAAGATGGAAAGGTGAGTCTTCCCAACTGCCAAGAAGGTCCAGATTGTATAATGTGTAATATGGTAGGAAAGGCAAGGCTGCTTAGTCAGAGCACTAGTGTTAGAAACAAGACAGTTGCCCAGAAAGCAGGACCATTAAAATTACCAAACTGTAAAACCTTTTCTTTTCTTCTGACCTTTTAAATCCTACCTTGTCATTGTGTTTTTCATTTGTTTTTAATACTAAGAGAAGAACTCTTCAAGAGCCTCTATAAAACCCCTCATGTCATGCATCCATGAGCTAGCCCCATCTCAAGACCTACTTTGGTGGACTGGGTCAGATGAGGAGTCTGTGGGTGATGGAAGTCACCCTAAAGAAGGAAAGGCAGCATACTCCATTATGGCAATGAGGTTGGCAGAGCTAGCGCTGGATTAGAAACTAACTTTACAGACGAATCTTGAGATATTTTCAGCTAGATGCCAGACTAGATCATTAAAGGCTGGAAACTTGGTGTTAGTTGGTGAAAGAAAAGGAAAAATGTAGCAACAAGAACCCTCAAGTTCAACATAGATCATTTTACTACATTAGCCCATTGTCTTGGCCCATTTAGGTTGCTGTAATAGAATACTGTAATCTGGAGGCTTAAACAGCCAAAATTAATTTTCTTCCAGTATTAGGGAGTGAAAATCCCAAAATCAAGTTGCCTGATAGATAATTAATTCTGTCTTCCCTCTTTCCTGACCCATTCATACTGCATCTTTATATGAAACATGTCTTATATCATTGAAGAAAAACCCTAAACTTAGTCTTTTCCTTCACAGTAAAGTTAGCTTCTCCTCAGTTTCTCCATGCCTTTACTCAATGCTTGGAGTTGTAATATCATCATCTCTCATTGCCACTTTTGGATCTTGGTGTGTCTTCATCGGTGTTTTAATGAGAAATTAGAAGGAATATCAGGCACTACAAGTATGATGCCATATTAACAGAAGTTTTAAATATATTTAACAGCAGTTTTAAACTAGAGATATGTGTGCCATATGTCAGTTAGTTGGGGAGCCCATGGCGATTTTTTTAAATTTAAATTTTTTTTTATTATTTTGAAGGTAGTAAAATACAACAGAACAAGATAGAACAAAGCCAATTTAGACAGTAGAGTGAAATTTGTACAGAACTTCACAGCAGGTTACCAGGAAAACAGTGATAGGTACCAGAGTATATCTTGTTATCTTCCTAATAGTTATTCTTATAGACAGGCGTAGCAAAATAAAATGAAATACAGAGCATTATAGAACTTATCAAAACGTTATTTAATAGAGCAATACCATTAATCAGTATAAAGCAAAACAGTGGTAAAAATATTTGCCTTCAAAGAGATGGTAGAAGGAAATCCCTTTATTTGCTGTATTGCATGTGGTCAACCTCCAAAGAGATGCTAGGTCTCTGGCTCCCTTTTGCTAACAGGGGTGAGGGGAGGTGGCATGTTTGATTCTCATCCCGTGCGCCAGTAGTCTCACTACTGCTTAGCAGGGAGGTGAGCTGGTTGCTTGGTTTCCTAGTGCCCTAAGTTCCAACATGGCATGGATCTCAGGAGATGCTGGTGGGTCTCCCCCTGGGGGGGCCACAGCTGCCACACCACAGCATCTTAACAGGGAGGCAAACTGGTTGCTTTGCCTCATACTATCATATTTTATGCCATTCTTTACCTAACAAGAACTGTGTTTTTAATTAGATATGTTGTAGACAATTTAAGCCATGTTTTGAAATTTTTCTTGTGCCAACACATTCTTGAACAAATAACCTTTTAAAATCCAAACATTAACTGTTAGTTTTCTTTCTTAAGCCATAGAGCCTAGTGAGGAAACTGCAATGGAAGCAGAAATTCTGAAGGGATCTAAAGAGGGTCTGGAAACTGAAGAATTATTTGAAACAGGTTAGGCTGTAAAATAGAAGTAGTATATAAAAGTGCTTTTCATCTTTCTCATATAGCATAATTCTTTATTTTGGGCATAGTATTTTTGCCTATTTACTTCTGTGTTGTCTGCCACCTATAGTCATTCTATTTGTTCAGCTCATTCAGTTAAAAGTGTGTCTATTCAGTTTATGAGACAGATTTTCATCAAAATTTATTTTATACATTGTATTAACAGTTAAAATTGTCATATGAAACATTAACTGTCCATATAACTTGAGTCTTATTCATAGGTAATAATTCATCTATGGCATATAAAGAAAAAGAACATAAAGTTTGAGTGTATGAAAGTATATTGTTGATTAGAATATTAAGTTTGCTTCTGTCCAATGTTTTAAAAATATTATAAAATGCAACTTATTTTGGCAACATGGCTAGTTAGGATATTTAAAGCTTTTCTTTATTCTTTCTTTTAACCTTTACTCAAAAGTTGTACTACCCAAGTTTCCAGAAGATGCTTATCCTGATACTCCTGAAATGGAGCCTTTTAAAGAGAAGATTGCTTCTTTCAAGAGCACGTGGAAACAGCTGGAACCCCTCATTAGCGAATCTTTCATTCCAATTTTAAAGTTGGAAGTTGCCAACAAAACACCAAAGGAACTACTTCAAAAAGTGGTTGAGACTATGGAAAGTAAGGGCTACAATGATAACATTTATGATGAAGAGCGGGTACTAGTATTAAAACCAGCTTGGCATTTAAGGGCCTTTCTGGATAGTTTATAAAGTACAGCATCCTATGTTTGCAAGGATGACATATGAAATTCTTGACTACAGTCATACTACAGGCTCTGTTTGTTCAGAATGGCCTATGGTGGCACATAGGACTGGCCGTCATGGCCACTAGTCACAGAAAGCATTTGTAAAGGCCAGTTGGTATCCATATTAAAACTGAGAGATTGCTAATAATAATTTTCTTAATCTTTGACCACTGTAATATGCTAGTATTTTTGTTCTAAAATTATTTTCCTAAGTGTCTGCCTGGCAAGCACAAGGTTCTGTGTTCCATTCCCCATACCAAAAAATAAAATAATAAAACTATCTTCTTTTTTAATAGAACCATTTCAATATCGTGCATTTGAGTTAACCGTAGAAGATTATGACGAAGAAGCAGAGGACTATCCAGCTGAAGCAGAAGATGAAGTAATAGAAGAAGAGGAAGAAGAGGAAGAGGCATGATTGTTTTATTACTACTCATTCTTATATGGAAAGCCAATGAAAATGTGTATATTCAAAGTGGTAACTATTCATGTTGGACTACAGTTGAACAAAGAGGCATCCTTGATGTTAGAAATAAATATTTTTGTTCATACTCTCCCCTCCTCATCCCAGGTTCATTTGACTCCCTAAAATGTCAGAGCTACTTAGTAAAAAAATGAGTCATGAAAAGGAAAATCTTTTAAATTTTTTCAAATGGAAAAATTATGTGGTTATTAAGGGTATGTATATTTTATAAATTTGACAGAAGTGGGATTTTTGTGTCAAACTCAGAAGTGGGATCTTTGTTAGGCTGCTTGGATGATACTATACTCCCAAATAAGCACAGCCCATGTACAGACCCAGTCTCTCTTCTTGGCATAAGAACAGTGACAACCATTTTTATTTGATAGCTGCCTAGTGCAGGCATCTAACAATAATAAAACAAGAAATAGTCCTTTTAATTTGTGTCTTTATAATTAAAAAAAATTTATTAAGCCAGATAAACAGACAGTTGTAATTAACTTGTTTCCTAACTGAAATCCAAATATATAGGTGTATGTGTGTGTGTGCACACGTGTGTGTGCGCATGCATGTGTGTAGTAACAAATGACATACAGGGTGATTCCAGTAACAGTTTTCAGTGTTTTATCACTGCGGAGCTGAGGGCCCTGTTACGTGGAGTGCTAACAAATGTAGGCTTCGTTCTGTCTATATTCAATTCTTTTCTCATCAGTCTTCTGCCAGGGCTGCTGCTTTCTTCTGCGTCCCACTCTGGCCTGCAATAGAACAGTCTTTTACTTGTATCTGCAGATAATTTTCAGGCTTTGCATATGGTTCATTAATAATACAGTAGAAAGCTCCATAATTCATAAGTCATTAGATAGGGTACAAAAAAAGTTCTAGCCCTCTGGAGTGGGGAATAATTAAACTTAAGAGTATCAATTTTCCTTGGCCTTGCTTAATGTAAAAGCAAGATATAAGCAAAAATGTCATGTTTCTTTCAAATAACATGTGTAAAAGAACAAAACTCAAGAATATGTATAGGCATACAAGGTAAAATTCTGTCATCCATTCAGATTCCTGGACCTGCAAATAGGAAAATATTACTCATAATAAGAATAGTTAGTCAATTGAAACTGATCCAAAACAGACAGAGCTGTCACAGTTAGCTGATAAAGACTTTAAAAGTTGTTATAATGTGTTGCACAAATTTTGTAAGTTAAGCAGTGATACAATATAAACACATAACTTGAACTTTTTTGCCAAAAAATCCTTTTTAATGCCCATATGATAATTCAAAGAAAAGTTAGAATAAGTTATAAAAATAGACACCTAACAGATCATATTCTCTGACAATAGTACAATAAAACAAACAAAACTAACCACAGGATAGTAATTCCCTCAATGTAAATACTTGAAAAATTTAAATATATGTTTTTCTAAATGCTAAATTAAATAAGAAATAAATAATGAAAATATGTACTAGACATGAATGACCATTTTAATGTTACACATTAAATCTTTGTGGCACAGCAGAAGTAGAAACTTGGAGTCATCAAATGTATCTAATTCACAGTTAATTTGAATTTAACATACATTAATAATTTTATATATGTTATATACTAAAAACTATTGCACTAAAACTTTTTTTGAAATTAGAGTACAATTGAGGAGCCTACTTTTTTATACACTAAGTCTAGTAACTCTACTTTAAGTCTATTTATTGAAAAACTAGAAAGATTTTTTAAAGCATTCAACCCAAGTACATAGAAAAAGTACAACAAAATAAACCAAAAGAAAGTAATAAGGAGGGAAATAAAGGCAAAAACTGATGGAGGAGGAAAATAAAATAGTGATCCATAATGAAAAGTTGATTCACTAACAAAAGCAATACAGTGGATGAACTTACAGCAAGCTGACTTAGATGAAAAGGAGCAATAACACAATTACATTAGAAACAAATGGTCATATAATCTGATCCTATAGGAATTGTTTTAACTTATAGGGATTTTATACTAACAGTTTTGAAAGTCAAAATAAAGAGGGTTAGTAAAAAGAGTCATTTACTAAAATTTGCTTACGAAGATGTATATAGATATATAGATATCCATTAGTGGATACATATGTACTCATATCCCTATGTTCTTTTTTTGTTTCCTATGTTCTTTAAGCTTTTCTACATCATAAAAAATAAAACTAGTACTTCTCATTTTGAAGCTGGAATGCCCAAATAGGAAAATTGAACAACAATGATGCAAGAAGAGTGTCAATTTTTTGCACCTTTATAAATAATGTTCATTTTTTCTTATAAAAAGAAATATGTTGTAGAATAATTATGTTAAGTATTTTATTTGTATTTTTAAAAGTATCATCTTTGTGCCTGAGTATATGTCTATTTGGTATGTGTATTGGTAGCATTACTTAGAAAGCAGACTCTCAACAGAGTCTAGAAAGAACTCAAAACTGTTAAGAGTGTGCGTAGCATTGGAAGAAAAAGGTGAAAGGAGGTTTTCACTATACATTATGATGTGTTTGATATTTCTGGAGTGAGCATTTTATTACAAACATTTTCATGTATTTCTATTCTTTAAATAAGTTTTAAATATTCTTAAAGTACTTTATACATTTGTATCACAAATAAAAAGCATGTGTTTTTCATTTGAACTAAATATTTTCAAATTATTATTTGGTCATATATCTATTTAAAAGGAATAAAAGCAATCCTGAGGTATTGCTTAATTTGCAATAGCTAAGAAGTTGTGAGCCTGACTCAGTTTTTAGTAATAGGAAATAATTTTATTTTAGAAACTGACTTCACATTGACCCTGCCCCAACACAGGCTGGAGTTTCTCATCAGCCTTGTGTTTGCAGAAGGCTGGGCACCTTAATTCTCAGCGTTGCTTAATTTTTTAAATGAAAATAAAACCCTTAGAATGTGAAGTTAGATGAATATGATAAACTGAGTTTCAATTTATTAAAATAGTATAAGGTAATCTTTCATGGGTTGCTTTAAGTTGATTGTTATAGGTTTGATATTAGTCAAGGTGAATTTTAAAAAATTTCTCTATAGCATTGCTGCAAAGTGGTTTTTAATATTCTCTGAACTAAATAATATTTCTAGAATGAAGAAGGAGCTAAAGAGAAACGCAGGCATTTGGGAGACACAAAGCATTTTTGTCCAGTGGTTCTCAAAGAAAACTTCATCCTACAGCCAGGTAACACAGAAGAAGCAGCTAAATATCGAGAAAAAATTTACTACTTTTCAAGTACTGAGGCTAAAGAAAAGTTTTTGGAGCATCCTGAGGATTATGTGGCTCATAAAGAACCATTAAAGGTAAAAACAGCATTGCTATCCTACTGATTGCTCCCAAGTCCTTTGTTTGTTTGTTTTGAGACAGGGTCTCACTAAGTAGCCCAAAATGGCCTTGAATTTGTGGTGATCTCCTGCCTCAGCTTCCCAAATCCTGGAATTACAGGCATGCACCACCATGCTTGGCACCCAGGAACTTCTTAAAAGACTGATTTCCATCATGTACTTTACAGTGAAGTACTCAATCTTATAGGCCAATACGGTAAAAAATATTTTAAGTTCAGGAACAGTTTTTGTAATATAACTTACATAATCATCTATATTGATTTCTACAGTTGTATTTTATTTCAAGTCAGCAGTTAGCATCAGTTTGGTTTTTTAAAAACTGAAGTAAAAAGGCACCACTGAATTTATTGTTTACTGCATTAAGGGTTACCTCAGCTGGTTAGTCACTTCAAGAAGAGCAGGCCAGGGATGTTGGAAAGGACTTAAGGTAAAGCAGTTCAGGGATTGGTGAACAGCACCTATGGCATTGTGATTACTAAAGTGATATTGTTTCTGGTGGTTCTGAACCTATTTTTGGAATAAGCCATCTCCAGTTGGCCAGTTTTTAAGGAGTGAGGACTAAAAGTGATTGGTTAGATTGAAAAACACTTTATTTTCCTTGATGTGAGCTAGTCTTGGTCAATTTAACCAGATTAAAATGGACTGAATAGCTAATGTTACCCCATATAGAATAATCAGTTTTTCTTCATTTATGATAAATTTTAAATTCTTATTTATCATTGTTGAAGTTTTCCACCTTTTTTCTAAAAGATGTAAAAGGCAAATACTATATGACTCCACTAATATGAAGTAACTCAAATAGGCAAATATGTTGAAGGAAGAGAGAATGGAATTTAACTGTTTAAAGAGCATATAAGTAGGTTCCAGTTTGGAGTCATGAAAAAATTGGAAGCCAGGAATAGTGCACATGCTTAGAATCCCAGGTACTTGGGAGACTGAACCAAAAGGACATCCTGGGCAATATATTGAGAACCTGTCTCAATATACAATAAAGAGGACTGGATTGTGACTCAATGCTCTCTGGCTTCAATATCCTGTACTGTAGGGTAAGAAAAAGGTTCTGGAGATGAATAATGGTGCACAACACCATGCGTACACTTAATGTCACTGAATTATACACTTGAAAATGGCACAAGTGGTAAATTTAATTTATATGTGCATATATATGCAGAATTTTAAAAGTACACATTTATGGCAAGTTTTTTCATTTCTTTTTAAAAATTGTATTTAAAGGAGAAAAAAACAGTAAAAGGGCACAAGTAATACAGAATTTCAAAAAAAAAACCAGTAAGAAATCACTAGTTAATAGATTACATATTGTCATCTTAGAAATAGTTGTTCAAGTTACAGGATTAAAGCATACAAAGTGGACATTCAAACAGTGAGACTGCAAACAGTTGTGTTCAATGATCCAGCGAAAACTTAGTAATATGGTCATCTATCTTAACGTACCTAAACATACTTGCAGTTGTATCCTTTAGAGTACTTTTTTTCCTCACTTTTTTTACAAAAACATTTACACATTTTGGGTTTTATTATTCCCATAGTTCTTATTACTTTTTTTGGAAGAGAATAAAACCAAATATAAAAAAAAGAAAGCAGTCAATCAAAACAAAGGATGGACATTGTACATGATGTAAAAACAGTATACAAGGTAATCAACAATGGTTACCACAATGCCTCTTGCTACCTTAAAAAGAATTGCCTATATTATTAGGTATAATAAAATTGAACAAAACAGTACAGAACAAGACCAATGAAACCTAACATTGGAGACATTACAGGACTTCAAAAGAAGATAATAGTTAAACCAGGATGGGCGTCATAGTGAATCTTATTGCCTTCAAAGTAGTTACCTATACCCTCAAACTTGACACTATCAAACAGAACAGAACATAATAAAATCAGTCAAAACCAGATGGTGGGAGCAATACAGAGCTTCAAATCAAGTTAATAGGAAATCAAAAAAGTTACTATCATATATCCTGCTAATTTTTTTCCTTAATTAAAAATAATAATAAACAATAAAATTTTTTAAAAGGGGGGAGATTGAGATAAAAGAGGACATAACAACATAACAGTACAGGTCAAAGCATAACATTTTAAGCAACCTAGTGCTTCATCACAAGATAACCTGACTTAATAGTAGTTACCACAGTGTCTCTTTCTTGAAATATTTGAGTATAACTTCATATACTATGGTATCAAACATAAAAAAGCAATGTGAAACCATTCAAGAGGATGAAAGTATTACAGGATATTTAGAACCAGCTAACGGAAAACGAGCAATGGTTTCCCATATTATCTCTTAGCCTATAAAAAGTTTTGTTTATACAATCACATGTAATAAAATCCAGTAAGATACAACATGATAAAACCAATGGAGACAGAAGAACAACAGTTTGGTGGGACCTCAAAACAAGATGATATTAAATCAGCACTAGTTATTATGTTGTCTTGTTTTCTTCAAAATAGCTGTTCATATCATCACAGGAAATAACATCAAACAGCCCAGAATAAAGCCATTCCAATTAATGAGTGAAAACTTTATAAGGCTTCAAAGCCATATAACGGGGAATCATTATTACTACATGCTTTTATATATTTGAATCATTTCTTACAATAGGGAAACTATTCGATATTCATACATGTGAGTTTGATTTATTTCACTTATGAGTATGGTCTCAAGCTGCATCCATTTATTTATAAATATCTCAATGTGATCATTCTTTATAGCTGAGTAGTACTCCATTGTATAAAAATATCACATCTTTTTTATCCATTCCTCAGTTGATGGACACTTAGGTTGTTTCCAAGATCCGGCAATTACAAATTGTGCTGCTATAGACATGGGTGCACATATGTCACTGTGGTATGATGTTTTCAGTTCTTCTGGGAATATGCCTACAAGTGGGATAGCTGGAGCAAATGGGACTTCCAATTCCAGCTTTTTGAGAAATCTCCAGACGGACCTTCACAATGGTTGCACCAGTCTACACTCCCACCAACAGTTCAGAAGAGTTCCTTTTTCCCCACAGCCTCTCTTAGCATCTTTTGTTGGTGGCTTTCTTGATCCTGGCCATTCTTTCAGGAGTGAGATGGTGTCTCAGTGTGGTTTTAATTTGCATTTCTCTAATGACTAATGATGATGAACATTTTTTCATGTATCTGTTAGCCATTTGTATTTCTTCATGTGAGAAGTGTGTATTCATCTCAGATACCCATTCTTGGATTGCATTTTGGGGGTCTGATATTTTAAAATTCTTTATATGTTTTAGACAGAAGTCCTTTGTCTGAGGGAGAGTTCACTAAGATTTTTTCCCAGTTTGTGGGTTTTCTTTTCACTATGCTGGAGATTTCTTTTGACGTGCAGAAACTTTTTAATAAGAGGTGATCCCAGTTATTGATTCTGGGAAGTATTTCCAGTGTGGTTTGAGTCCTGTTCATGAATTCTTTACTTACCCCTATGTCTTCAAGGTTTATACCCAATTTGTCTTCCAATAGATTTAGTGTTTCTGTTTTAATATTGAGATCTTTGATCCATTTTATTTTGTTTAAAGAGAAAAAAGAAAAAACAAATCAGTAAAAGGGTACAAGTAATACAGAATTTCAAAAAATATATACAGTAAGAAATCACTAGTAAATAGATTACATATTGTCATCTTAGAAACAGTAGTCCAAATTACAAAATTAAAGCATACAAAGTGGACATTCATGCAGTGAGATTGCAGACAGTTCTACTTAATGATCCAACCAAAAATCAGTAATACGGTTTTCTATCCTACACACTTAAATATACATGCAGTTATATCCTTTAGACCACTTTCTTTTCCTCTCTTTTTTACAATAACAATTACACTTTTTTGGTTTTATTACTCCCAGAGTTCTTATTACTTTTTTTTGAAGAGAATAAAACCAAATGTGACAAAACAAAACAGAGTCAGAACACAAGGATGGACATAGTACATGATGCAAAAATAGAATACCAGGTGATCAAAAATGGTTATTATTATGCCTCTTGCTATCTTAAAAAGAGTTGCCTATATCATCAGGTATAATAGAATTGAACAAGACAGTACATTTAGATTTTAATTTAGTACATGGTGATAGGCATGGGTCTAGTTTTAGTTTTTGGCATATGGAGAGCCAGTTTTTCCAACACCATTTATTAAAGAGACTGTCCTTCCAGTGAACCTACCTGTTAGGCTCCTTTATCAAAGATAAGGTGGTTGAGTGTGTTTGTGGTTGTGATTGTATCTTCTAATCTATTCCATTGATCTTCGGCTCTGTTTTGATTCCAGTACCATGTTGATTTTACTACGGTTGCTTTGTAGTATAACTTCAAGTCAGGGATTGTGATGCCTCCTGCCTTGCCTTTGTTGATTAGAAGTATCTTTGCTATTCTAGGTCTCTTCTCGCTCCAGATGAATTTTAGGAGTGATTTCTCTAGATCTATGAGATATGTTGATAGTGTTTTTATTGGGATTGCATTGAATCTGTGTAACAGTTTTGGGAGAATGTCCATTTTCACAATATTCTTCCTATCCATGAGCAAGGGATGTCTTTCCATTTTCTGAGATCGTCTTCAGTTTCTTTTTTCAGTGTATTATAATTTTCCCTGTATAGGTCTTTCACTTCTTTCATACGAGTAATTCCTACATATTTCATTTATTTGGTTGCTAGTGTGAAGGGTGTGGCTTCTCATTTCTCTCCGTAATTTTGTTGTTAGTGTATAGAAATGCTATTGATTTTTGAGTATTGATTTTGTATCCAGCTACATTACTGAATTTATTTATTATATCTAAGAGTTTTTCAATGGAGTTTTGGGGGTCTTCTATGTAGAGTATCATGTCATCTGCAAACAATGATAATTTAACTTCATCTTTTCCTATCTTTACCCCTTTTATTTCTCTCTTGTCTAATTGCGCTAGCCAGTATTTCCAGTACTATATTAAATA